ATGGTAGAGAGAGAGCATGAGAGGGAAGAAGGTCAGAGGGAGAAGCAGACTCCCTGCTGAGCAGGGAGCCTGATGCGGGACTCGATCCTGGGACTCCAGGATCATGACTTATGCCGAAGGCAGTTGCTTAACCAACTGAGCCACCCAGGCACCCCTCAGCCTTGAAATTTTTCAAAATAAATTTTTACGGCAAAAAATACTGATGAGCAAAACAATGAATTTTGTGACAACATATACCATAAACAAAGGAAAAAGACAAGCCAAATTATCAGTAAAGGATCAGAAAAAGATTAGCTGAATTACATGAAGAACTTTTACATATTCTACAAGTCAATAAGAAAGACAAGCAACCCAACAGAAAAACAAGCAGATGACAGGGACAACACATTCATGGAAAATGAAACCCATTATGCCCAATAAACAGATAAAAAGATACCCAGTGTACTAATCAAGAAAATGCAAATTAAAACAAAAAATACAGCACTTCACACCCATCATGTCGGCAAATTCCTTTAAGCTTGAGCACAGAGGTATTGACACAAATAAACCGAGAGGAACTCTCAACCAGCAAGAGAAGTTTAACAGGTTCGACACTGTCAAGTACACTTTGACAACACCTAACAGTTAAAGAGGCGCACCATACTCAGCAATGCCCTTCTTTTTTTTTTAAGATTTTATTTATTTATTTGAGAGAGAGAGAATGAGAGATAGAGAGCACAAGAAGGAAGAGGGTCAGAGGGAGAAGCAGACTCCCTGCCGAGCGGGGAGCCTGATGCGGGACTCAATCCCGGGACTCCAGGATCATGACCTGAGCCGAAGGCAGTCACTTAACCAACTGAGCCACCCAGGCGCCCTCAGCAATGCCCTTCTTAGTTATAATCCCTGAAGCAGCAGCAAGTCCGTGAAATCGAGATCGTGAGATCGAGATCGTGAGATCTAGACTCTTTACATAGTAATACTAGAACATCATTTGCCTTTTTCATCCTCTCTCAAGAGTGTTCAGTGAAGTTTTCCAGAGGCTCATGGTATATGTCACAGCCAGATAACTGCAGAAGCAGATACAAGAATCCAGCTCTCTTCTATTAATTCAGACATTAAAGAGATTTTCAAAAATGTAAAAGCAATGCCACTCTTCTATTTTTTCTATTTTGGAAAGTGTAGTTATTTTTCATAAAAATGTTATTTATAACACATAGCGGGTTTATTATTGTGATTTTTTTTTTAAAATAAGTATTTTAAGCATATCTCATACAATAAATATTGATAGTTATAAATCACATAAAAGCTTTTTGGGGTCCTCAGTCATACTTTCAGAGTGTAAAGAGGCCCTTAGACCAAAATGTTTGAGAACCACTGCCCTGGAGAAACTATCACACGTGTATACCAAGAGACATATACAAGAATCTTCCTGGGCGCCTGGGTGGCTCAGTGGGTTAAGCGACTGCCTTCGGCTCAGGTCATGATCCTGGAGTCCCGGGATCGAGTCCCGCATCGGGCTCCCTGCTCAGCGGGGAGTCTGCTTCTCCCTCTGACCCTCTCCCCTCTCATGCTCTATCTCATTCTCTCTCTCAAATAAATAAATAAAATCTTTAAAAAAAAAAAAAAAAAGAATCTTCCTTGCAACACCGTAATAGCAAATTTCCTTCTGTCCATCAGAAGGAAAAAATGATAGACCGTGTATAAAATAACTATGTAGCCTTTAAAGCAATGAACTAGGGCGCCTGGATGGCTCAGTAAGTTAAGTGGTTAAGCGTCTGCCTGCCTTCCATTCAGGTTGTGATCCTGGGGTCCAGGTATTGAGTCCCACATCAGGCTCCCTGCTCTGCAGGAAGCCTGCTTCTCCCTCTTCCTCTGCCTCTCTCTCTCTGTCTCTCATGAATAAATAAAATCTTTTTTTTTAAGATTTTATTTATTTATTTGACAGAGAGAGACACAGAGAAAGAGGGAACACAAGGCAGACGCTTAACAACTGAGCACCCAGGCACTCTATTTTTTTTTAAGATTTTTATTTATTTGAGAGACAGAGAGAGAGACAGAGAGAGTATAAACAGGGGGAGAGGCCTGTTTATAGATAGAGAGGGAGAAGAAGACTCCCCGCTGAGCTGGGAGCCCGACATGGGGCTCGATCCCAGGACCTGGAGATCATGACCTGAGCTGAAAGCAGACTTTTAACCATCTGAGCCACCCAGGCATTGTGCTTTTTAAATTTGTGAGATTTGGCCATTTGATATAGGTAATGCTAGTTCATTTCTTTATTTTTATTATTTTTTAAAGCTTTTATTTATTTAGGGGCGCCTGGGTGGCTCAGTCGTTAAGCGTCTGCCTTTTGCTCAGGTCATGATCCCAGGGTCCTGGGATCGAGTCCCACATCAGGCTCCCTCCTCGGGAGGAAGCCTGCTCTCCCCACCCCACCCCCGCTTGTGTTCCTGTTCTTGCTATCTCTGTCTCTGTCAAATAAATAAATAAAATCTTTTAAAAAAAATAATAAATAAATAAATAAAATAAAAAGCAAAATGCTGAAAGATATATACAATATACCATGCATCTAGTTTTAAAACATGTAAAATCATAGTAGTATGTATGATTATTGATATATATATATATATATATATATACACACACACACAGAAAAACTAAAAAATAAAAACACATGGGAATGATAAAAGCAAAAACTGGGGCACATGGCTGGCTCAGTCGGTAGAGCATGCTACTCTTGGTCTCGGGTCATGAGTTCAAGCCCCATATTAGGCACAGAGCTTACTTAAAAAAAAAAAAGCAAAAATCATTGCAGAGATTACCTCTGTGGAGGTGGGAAGAGAAATAGCATGAAGGATACACAGGAGCCTTCAATTATATGTGGAATGTTAGTAGAAACACAGGTATTCATTATATTATTTCCTATAATTTTTTGTATGATTGCAATACATCATAAGTAGAGATTAAGAATGCTGAATAGAGGGCGCCTGGGTGGCTCAGTTGGTTAAGCAACTGCCTTCGGCTCAGGTCATGATCCTGGAGTCCTGGGATCGAGTCCCGCATCGGACTCCCTGCTCAGCGGGGAGTCTGCTTCTCCCTCGGACCCTCCCCCCTCTCATGCTCTCTCTCTATCTCATTCTCTCTCAAAGAAATAAATAAAATCTTAAAAAAAAAAAAGAATGCTGAATAGATACTGGGTGTTAGGAGGGAGAAGACACCATAGGACCAAATGAAGGACTGCAAATGAAGGGTGACTCAGGTTTGATTTAGGTCTCAACTCTAGAAAACTGGAAGAATATCAATGCATTAGCTCAAATTTAGGAAGTTGGGATGAAGAAATAGTTTAGGGGTGTGCCTGGGTGACTCAGTCCTTAAGCATCTGCCTTCGGCTCAGGTCCTGATGGTCCTGGGACCGAGCCCCGCATCGGGCTCCCTGCTCAGTGGGAAGCCTGCTTCTCCCTCTCCCACTCCCCCTGCTTGTGTTCCCTCTCTCGCTGTCTGTCAAATAAATAAATAAAATCTTAAAAAAAAAATAGTTTGGGAAAAGGTAAGGTGGTGGGATTTAGACATGCTACCAGGAGAAGCAGAAATGATAAAATTATTAGAGAGTTGTAAATTTAAAGATGGTGTCTGGGAGCTGCCAGGGCCAGAGATACAGATTTGGAACTCACTGAATAAAGATGGAAGATTTGAGAATAGATGAGATCATCAAAAAAGGTGATACAGGAAGATGAGTGTATGGAGAAGCTTACCCAGAGAGAGTAGAGGAGAGGGCTTGGGGAACAGACGCAGAGGGCCACGGCGGAGAAGACAGAAGAGAGGCTAGAGGAAGATGGCAGTGAGTCCTCACAGAAAGGTCAGAGAAGGAATCAGAGTCAGACAAGAGAACATTCGAAGAAAGAAGGTATAAAAAAAGTTCAAAGAGAAATAAGGAATGTACTAGGTCACCGGATTATATTCATATAATTTCAGTGTGCCAATTTTAGGAAGCCAATATTGATTAATCCCAACCCTTTCTGACCACTCCTCTTTCATCCATTCATTCCAACAAAAGCTGATTGAGTATCCTGTATGTGGACACTAAGGATACAATGATCGTCTCTGTCTTCATGGTCTTAAGATCACAGTAGAAGAGAAAGACTAATCAATTACTAACAATGATGAATGTAAAATCACAACTACAATGAATGCTATCAGTGGGAGTACTTGGAACTCAGAGATTGTGTAATTAGGGAATTGTTAACTCCTTCCTCCTTTCAGCAGTGTATATTGTGCCTTCCTGAACAGACTCTAAGCCCAAGAGGGCAAACTTTTTTATACTCTTACACTGTTTTCTTTTGATATCTTCTCCAAGTGCTCAGCATAATGCTTCAAAATAATGGGTATTTAGTATATGCTTACTTACACATCTGTAATGGGAAGCATCAGATTTTGTAATAAACACATCCTATTGTATGGAAGAGCTATGACATTTTTTTAATAACCTGCTACGGGTGTTAAAGAGGCCAAAAGCAAAGTGTAAGCCTTGAAAAGGTTAGCTTGGTGTTCTCTACCTGTATCTCAAGCAATTACCTTGAGACTGCTTAGGATTATTCTCAAAGAGGGAGCCAGTAAAATCATGGAAAGATTGGCACAAAACATTCTCACCTCTAGAGAGACAACTCGAAATGTACACTCTACCAACAGTAAGCCAGTGCTATAATGTTACTTTTGCAAATAAAAAGCAAAACATTCATTGTAAGGCAATTGGTCCTGACAAGAAAAAACAGAGTTCAGGGGCGTCTGGGTGGCTCAGTCGGTTAAGCGGCTGCCTTTGGCTCAGGTCATGATCCCAGGGTCCTGGGATCGAGCCCCACGTCAGGCTCCCTGCTCAGCGGAGAGCATGCTTCTTCCTCTCCCTCTCCCTGCTGTTCTGCCTACTTGTGCTCTCTCTCTCTCTGTCAAATAAATAAATAAAATCTTAAAAAAAAAAAAAGAAAAACAGAGTTCAGCGGTATTCAAGAAGCAGCCCCACAACTACTTACATCACGAAACTGAACCTTTCCCAGTTCTCCTAATTCACTGACGCAACAATAAGCAGCTTCTGACTGTAGAAAAAGCTGGGCCAGCGTCATCTCCTCACTCCGGAAAAGCTCCCCCATGGTAGCAGAAAGTGCCAGTCAACAGAGTACCTGGGTTTCTCTCCAACCTAAAGCAAAAAGAGAAAACTGCATTACCGAAAGAGCTAAGAGCAAACACCACAATAGTAAGGCTCTTTTGTTTTGCATTTCGTATCTTCCATCCCTTGCAGACAGACCTTTAACATCCTGTTTAGAAGGACAGAAAGGAGAAACTGCAAAAGGCTGTTACTAAATCCTCTCCCACAGAGTACCTGATGAAAAGCCACTTCCTTCACAGTCAACTCAGGATCAAATGACAATATTTTGGGGCTCAATACATAAGAACGTATCCAGTTAAAAACAGGAACTGGGATTCGCAAACAGCTCTTTAAATACCCTGGACAGGGTATTATGAGGCATCACACTGCCTGACCTTTTTTTGGCTTGTGTCAGGAAACACACGGAAGAGACCTAGATTACCCTCTCATAAAGGATATCTCCGTGGAGACTAGTTTTCTACCCTCTACTGCCCATTTCTAACTGTTGGAGTCCCAGCACTATGCTACAGCTATGGGTACCTTAAAGGGTTTAACCTTCCATCTCCTCAGGAAACACCATTTTCTCCCTAAGGAATCTAAACACATCAGCATTATCTCAAAAAAACGGGGGGGGGGGGACACCTGGCTGGTTCAGTCAGTACAGCATGTGACTCTTGATCTCAGGGTCATGAGTTCAAGCCCCATGTTGGGTGTGGAGCCTACTTAAAAAAAAAAAAGAGCCAGCTTGCAAATTAAGCTCAATTTCAAGTCCAGTACGACAGAAATACATTGATAATGACAAAGCAGTTTTATCAAACCACAGAGAATAAGCTTGCCACCTCCGTAGCTTTCAATTTCTTATCCCCACCTTCAAGATTAATTACATTCTTCCATCTGTTAAAGCTTCTCATGCATGAGCCAATAAAGGTTTCCTTTTAGGGCTGTCTTATCCTTGCCCGGTATGAAAGACAATGGCGCTATCAGTGGTCCTGAAACTGCAATTATTTATTCTCAATCAGCTATTGTAAGGCACAGACTGTACCCTATCTGAACTCAGCAAACCGTACAGTATTTTTAGTATCATGAGGGCATCCATAATGATAGGTGAAACTGGCATCAAAGGAAGAGTTACTGTTCTGCAAGGCTGGAAGACATTTTGAGAAATCTGAACGACGAAACCTTTGTGCATTTGATGTTCAAGGCAGCAAAATAACACGCTCAGATATAAGCAAAGATTTCTCAAGAGATTATGTAGTCTGCCTTTAAAATTGTCTATACCTGAATCACCCAAAACAGCTGTTATCAACCCTCCCACATCTTCCCCCAAAGAAGAATAGATTCCACAACCTCTAACGCAGGAAAAATTATGCCTGATCAGCACAGTTCGGGGCTGCCAGTAATAACAGCCTCCAGAGTTGCCTCCCTCCTTCTGTTCTTTAATGATTACAAGTCTCCTAGAACATCTCTATGCCACTGGAGCCAAACAGAAAACTAAACAAGCCAAAGCGATTCGGGGATGAGAGGATGTCACAAAACAAAATATGAAGAAACAGTAATTCTGCACAAGATGAGTACAAATAAAGTGCCCGGCGTCCAGCCTCACTATGGTCATCCAGTCCTCGCCTCCTACGAGGTATTCAAACTCATCTGCTTCATTTCCTGTCTACCCAGTGAGAAAGCAGGAATTCTTTGAGCCCAGGCACACCTACGTCCCGAAGTGGCGACTAAAGGGGGGAGGGGGGAGGGATCATCAAATTGGGAGCCCCTTTAAGAAGCCCCCAAATTCTTCTGCCTACCCAGTAACCTTCTGTTCCTCCGCCTACGCCTTAAATGGGGGAAGGGCTGAGGGCCTCCAAAGAGAAGTGAACCTCCGATTCCTCTGCCCACAGGAGGGGTGCCCGAAGAGGGGCGAACCCCCATTTCCTCTCAGACACCTAAGATCTCTGCTAATTCCTTTGACAAGCGAGGAGGCTATTAGAAGGATTTCCCATGCCCTTCCGAGGCCTCTCCCTGCCGCACTGTACCTACACGCCCCGCTCACCTTCAGCCCCCAGCCGGGCCGCAGCCAAAGCAGCCGCCCAAGACCAAGCCCGCAGCCTCAGCGGCTCGGGACATCAGCGCTCGACGTGCGTGCGTCCGCAAAGCCCTGCCCCCGCGCAGCCTCCGGCCCCGCCCCCAAGATGACCTCATTGCAGTCAGCCAATGGGGTGAGGCCTGGGTTAGCTGCCGCACTGCAGAGTCGCGGGGGCGCAGGCAAGACCCTGGGTGCTGACGCCATCTTGTTCCCGCGGCTGTTGTCTCCAGCCGGTGGGACCGGGGTGTCTGACGGGCTGCTGGTGCCGGTGCTTGAGGACCTCAGCCCGTATTCCCTTCATAATCCCTTCTCCCTAACACCCTCGAGGCTGGGCTGTCTGCTTGCTTTCTTTTCATATCCAAAAAATTAATTCACAACTTTTTTTCCACGAGGAAAGTAACATCAAGGAAGGGGAGACATTATGAAATGACCTGAAAGCTGGAGAGCTTATTAAAAGCGCTTACAGTCCAGTCTCCTCTACATTACACACGCACCCTTTTTCCTTATTTTACAGAACATTTAAGCCCCCGAGTGAGCAACGCCTAAGATCCGTAGTAGAGCCTCGAACAGGGAGGGGCTCGTTCACTAAGTATGGAAAAGCCCTTTTTAGAAAGGTACTTGGTTAAGTCCCTCTGGCAAGGGTTCAGGGTCTGTTTTTCTCCAATTAGTGGGAAAATCCCCATAAGACCCTATGTTGTGACAGTAAATTTTTGTCTTGTTGGGTGGATTCCTGCAGGCCCCTTTGACCATGTAAGGGTTTTCTATTGCTCAAAAATTTTAAAAGAATAACAAGTTTTTTTAAAACGCAAAAGTGGGGCACCTGGGCGGCTAACTCGATTAAGCATCTGCCTTCAGCTAGGATCTTGAGCCCAGGGCCCGGGGATAGAGCCCCATGTTGGGCTCCCTGCTCAGCAGGTAGCCTGCTTCTCCCTCTGCCTCTGTCCCTTCCCCTGTTTGTGTGCTCTCTCTCTCTCAAATAAAATCTTAAAAAAAAAAAAAACCCAAACACTGCAAAAGTGATGCTGATGTGGGAAACAAAGGCAAAAGAAAAATTAAATTTCCTTACTATCTACAGCCCACTGACAAGTCCCTGAGACAGAGTGACATTCCTTTAGGAACTCGGCTGCCTCGATGTTAATACCTTGCTAAGGGCAAAAGGCAATCTTAGCCCGACCCCCAAGGATCCTGTAAGTCTACCTTAACATATAAAAATTCCTTTGGAAACCTCCTTTATCTCTACCCCCCGAGATACTTGTTGGCAATGCATCCCTCAAGCATATGACCCACGGATATACATCTGAAGGGTCTCATGACTAAGGCTTTATTAGACAGTACTAAATGACCCTTTCCTAACAATAACTAGCCCCCTCAAGGTCCTGGAAACGTCCTTCCAAATTCCTTAAAGACTTAACGCTATCCCTAACCCCCAACTTGAAAGTAAATAATGGGCCGTTCCTCATGACCCAGTGCAGCTCTTTCTGCCCACGGGTCCTGTTCCGTGCTTTCATAAAACTGCCTTTTTGCACCAAAGACGTCTCAAGAATTCTTTCTTGAGCATCAGCTCCAAACACTAACATTTCCTACATCAGTGCTACCTACTATTTATAAAAACGCCTTTCTCAAATACTGGTATCAACTTCCTAAGGAGGAGTAAGGATCCCAAATCGTTTGTAGTACCCAGAGCTGTGTCAAGAAAAACTCGGAAAACTGGTCTTTCAGGCTCTCTGGGTGGTGGAACCCTACTGAGATTCAAGGGTAATGAGGGAGATAAAAACCTGACGCTGATAATTTTGTCTACCTGGCAGAAAACATCATCAATGCTGTTTTACCAGTGTAAACGAAATAATGAAGGCAAAAATGAACGTTTTATTTAAATTTTCTATCTCCTATTGTGAGTGAAGATATAATTTGATTCCATTATGATTCAGTTGAGAAGCAGCACCTTGGAGAGGCTCAAATCCTCCCCTTTCCTGTGATCTTCAATGTCCCATAGCTGTCTCAATTTTCCTGGCAGGACAGATAGAGACCCACACTTGAAAGCCTGCCAAGTTTTAGAAAACTATTACACAATGATGTCATTTCCTTCCTCTGAGATTTAAAAAACAAAACAAAACAAAAACTCTTTTAAACCTGAGTCAACTTGCTAACCACACATTTTTTGCACTCCACCTTTAAGACAGTCTTTCATCTGGACTTACCTCAATCCCCTTGAACTCTCTTTTTTCATGGTTTCCTTTAAAGTATGTCCTCTCAAGAGTTCCTTTTCTGGCTCCTTTCATCTCCTGCCATCAGTCTTTCTCCAGTGTTCCACTCCCTCCATGCTCTCTTCCTTGGCAGTCCTCCTTCTTGTTGTGTGTAAATGTCTATGTGTGGGACTCACACCGATTTTTCCATCCATCTCCCTTCTCCAAGGCTTCCGGATGGAATTTCAGACAGCCTGAATAATGCCATTCAGGCAACAAATGCTTGCTGAGGGCCTAACATGTGGCAAACATGGTGCTAGCTGCTGGGGATAGGAAGAATGAAATAGACACACTTCCTATCTTAGAGGAGCTCACAGTTCAGTGAGAAATAAAGTTCCAATAATTATAAGAGAGAGAGATTCATACTATGTGACAGGCATTTTTCTAAGTGCTCTATAAATATGAATTCATTTAATTCTCATAACAATACTAGGAGGCAGATACTAGTATTATTCCCATTTCATAGGTGATATGGTGTGGGGCACCTCACTGGCTCAGTCAGTAGAGCATGCAACTCGTAATCTCAGAGTCGTGAGTTCAAGCCCCACGTTGGGTGTAGAGATTACTTAAATAAATAAATATTGGCACAATAATTTGCCCAAGGTTGCTTAGCTAGTAAATGGCAGAGCAGGATTCAAACCCAGGCAGGTTGGCCCCATTTCCTGGGCTCTTAAGTACTGCACTGCTTCTCAGAGTTCTGTTGTTCCTCTGTTGCACTGTCTACAGAGTGCTGTCTATGAGTCCAATCTGAGTTCAAGTCTTGATCTGCCATTTAATATCGATAACCTTAGGACTCTCTAAGCCCCAGTTTCCTCCTCTATAAAATGGGGTTAATAATGATACTTACCTCATATGGTTATTGTGAGGAATAAAAGGAACTTAGTACATGGTTGGCACTCAGTCTGCATTCAAAAACTGCTAATTATCATCATCAGCATCATTACTGTTGCTGTTGATACACAAACTACTGTATAATGGACCTGAGAATCTCAGAAAAGTTTACATTGAGGAGGTGATATGAGAGCAGAGTTTTGTTTTTTTTTTTTAAAGATTGTACTTACTTGAGGGGCGCCTGGGTGGCTCACTTGGTTAAGCGTCTGCCTTCAGCTCCAGGTCGTGATCCCGGGGTCCTGGAGTCCCCGAGTTGGACTCTCTGCGCAGCGGGGAGCCTGCTTCTCACTCTCCACCCGGCTCATGCTCTCTCTCTAGATATCTCTGTCTCTCAAATAAATAAAATCCTTTTTTTAAAAAAGATTTTATTTATTTGAGAGAGAGAGAGAGAGAGAGAGCACAAGTAGGGGGAGGGGCAAAGGGAGGAGCAGCAGACTCCCCATGAGCAGGGAGCCCAACTTGGGGCTCAATCCCAGGACCCCCAAGACCATGACCGATCCCAGGACCCCGAGACCATGACCAGAACCGAAGGCACACACTTAACCAACTGAGCCACCCAGGCGCCTGAGAGCAGAGTTTTAAAGGATTATGCTCTCACTGAATAAAAACTGGCCCTTCCTCTCAGATCATTAATCCTGCTAAGGGCATATTGTTTTCCTGGTTACCCAGGTTCCAAGCTTAAGCCATCTCTAATTCCATTATTTCTCTGTCTCTCCACATTTAGTCAGTTGCCATGTCATGTTAATTGTGTGTCCTACATTTATTTCTTGCCTCTACCCACTTATCCCTTTTATTTTCATTGCCAATAACCTATACAGGTCCATTAGGCTCTCTCAGATACTAAAGCAAGAACCAATAGGAAGCAGGGGCGCCTGCGTGGCTCAGATGGTTAAGCATCTGCCTTCGGCTCAGGTCATGATCCCGGGGTCCTGGGATCGAGTCCCGCATCGGGCTCCCTGCTCCTTGGGAGCCTGCTTCTCCCTCTGCTTCTCTCTCTTTCTCTCCCTCTGTCTCTCATGAATAAATAAATAAAATCTTTAAAAAAAAAAAAAAGAACCAATAGGAAGCAGCATGGGGTAGTGTAGTAGACCATAGTAGACCGCCGCCGTAGTTATACCATCCTGAACTAGGCTTTAATCTCAGTTCCTCCATTTATTCCATCTAATATTAAATGTAAGAGAAATCTCAGCTCTAACAATTACAAGGTATCTGAACTTGAGCAAGTTGTTTCACTTTCTTGAGCTTAATTTTCCTCATTGAGACTTTCATGGACTTGTCTCCATCTCCTTTAGAAAACACAGTACTGGGGCCCCTGGTGATGCAGTTGGTTGAGCTTCTGACTCTTGGTTTTGGCTCAGGTCCTGATCTCAAGGTCATGAGACTGACCCCTGTGTTGGGCTCTGAGCTCAGCGAGGAGTCAGCTAAAGTTTCTCTCTCCCTCTTCCCCTGCACCTCACCATGCTCACTCATTCTCGCTCTCAAATAAATAAATAAATCTTAAAAAAAAAAAAAGAAAGAAAGAAAGAGGGGCGCCTGGGTGGCTCAGTCGTTAGGTGTCTGCCTTCAGCTCAGGTCATGATCCCAGGGTCCTGGGATTGAGCCCCGCATCGGGCTCCCTGCTCCGCGGGAGGCCTGCTTCTCCCTCTCCCACTCCCCCTACTTGTGTTCCCTCTCTCGCTGTGTCTCTCTCTGTCAAATAAATAAATAAAATCTTTAAAAACAAGAAAGAAAGAAAAGAAAGGAAAAGAAAGCACAGTACTTTCTACCTGACTTTTTTTCTCTATCACCAAACTATAAATTCCTTTTGGGCCTACTCACTCAATAGTAAGTACTGGGGCACCTGGGTGGTTCGGTTGTTGAGCGTCTGCCTTCGGCTCGGGTCATGATCCCAGGGTCCTGGGATCGAGCCCCACCATCGGGCTCCCTGCTCA